AATCTTTGCAACTACCCACTGCATCTATTCTTCAAGCTCGTAACGATAATCGTGGAAGTGAAATTACAGAGAATTGTTGCAACGTACTTTTGAAAGCCATCGTCTCCTATTCATTCCGGCATCCCGTTGTTGCAGGCCGAGTACTTGTTCAAGGAAAATCCAGAGGGGAAGATGTTCGAGCCCGATTTCACAAAAACGATGCAGTCTGTCCTGGACGTGATTGAAAAGTTCCAAGGAGAGGTTCTACCGCCGGAGGAGCTGGACGACAAAATAATGGAGCTGTTGAAACAACAGGGCGAGCAACACGGCGAGGACAAAACGTCGTCCAGCAGCGGGGTGGATGTTTGCGGGAGTAGAAAAGTCACCCCTTGCTTCACCCCATGCTTCGCCTACGACGACACGATATCGTACGAGAGGGAGGGTGAAACCGAGTCTGTTGAAACAGAGGACTACTGCCAGAACCAGCTGTAGGGTATATTACCCAACGTTAGTTATGTGAAAGCATTATGGTTACATGATTTTTTGTTCTCAGATACATGATGTATAAAATTGTAGTATTTTTTATAATATTGATAAATGAAAAATTTATATTTGGTTTCCAAAAGTAGTTGTAACCTTTTTATTTTTTGAATGTAGACCCAAGCACGAGCAAACGTTCGGAATAAATATAATTAGTGGAACTTTGAAAGCCTCCCTATCTCTACTTTACGTTAAACGTGGTTCTGGCAAGGGGAACGCTTGATGAAGTTTACGCCGACAGATTAGGCTATTAATTAGTCTGCCTGTCTCCATAACAACGACAATATTTAGCCAACGAGGGCTCCAGAATTCTTGTAATCGAATGATCCAAGCATGCTAATGTCTCGCACGCCGTTGGTCTGTTAGATCGCTACGAGACAAGATTTCGATAATGAGTTCGTGACTTGCAACTACGGTAGCATTTCTACACGCTTTAAATATTAATGCACATGCTAACGCCCCAGACGAGCGTTCTCTAGGTTGAGCTAGAAATACCTAGCCTCCTTGAGAGGGCTATAGTGGACAGAAACGTACACCGTTGGAATAATAATGTTTCTGCTAACGCAAGGCGAAGGCTTTGGATTCCATTTTTGTGGGAGCTTGGTGGTCCGAATATGATAATTTCTAGAATATAAATCAAAGTATACCTAGACGTTCCTGACTCTTGCAATTTGGTTCTCTTCGAGTTTAACGAAGACTACCTGAAATTTTCAATGAAGTACAAATAAGAGATACTTTCTCACGGAATGCTTCGTGCATTTAATATTTCAATTAATTTTAACCCTTTACACTCTGTGCCATCTCGTTGCAAAATGTGCGAACAGGAATCATACTACATTAAATAGTCTAATTTTGTAAATGTGTTTTTCTTAGTATCATTAGAGTTTATTATAAATTCTTATAGCTTTCTTGAAGCGTTGACACTAGTGCAAACATAAAGGATCTTTTAAAAGAGGCTTCAGAATTTTGTTTTTTAATATAATATTATATAAAATATAATATAATATTTAATATTACAAAGGGTTGAATTAAATTTTAAAGTACATACTGTCAATCCCATAAGTATTCATACCCTCTATATCTATTGAAGAAAGTCTAAATTAAGTAATAGGTTCGACGTTTTTAAATAAATGTTTCATTATAAATATATACATGTGTAAAATGTATTCATGTAAATATGTATTATAAAAAATTAGTGTGGAAACATCACACCTGTCATTTAATTTAGACAAATTTCTTGAATGAACATAAGGGGTACGAATACTTATAGGACTGAATGTGTGTAAGATGATTAAAATATACAATATGTTGAGCACGAAGATTTATTAAATTTTCCGTTTTAATTTCGTATGCATCGCAGAGAGCGCATATTTGAAAGTCTCAGCGCCCATTAGGCTGGCAATATCAAGGCGAGAAATAATCGTCTTCGTTAATCGAATCTCTTAGATGTGGAAACGCATAGTTCTCCACAGGACTCTCATTTCCAGGTGCACTGGATGAGCTTGCATAAAGAGCTTCCGAATCGAATGATTATAGTCCTTGACCGTTCCGTGCTCGCGCAGCGGAAGCTGCTAAAGCTGCTTTGGTTCGAAAATAACTTCGTCGTAAATGTCCACGTCAAAGGGTCAATTTAGTCGAATTGGTTCACCTGATCTGGTCGAGCGACGCCGCAGCGGGTCACCAATTACAGATTTGTGCATGAATGAACCCGACAGTGAGCGATATGACGAAAAAATTAGCCTACTTCGATCCTCTCTACATCCAATATTAAAAGAAAGAGTATTTACAGGAAAAATGATTTAATAGTATTGGAATGAAAGTATTTCAATTTGGCACAGTTAATTATCAAAATGGAGAAAGCAGGAACACTCGAGGCGCCAATCTATCACGGACCGAATGAAATTAATTTGCAAATCGCATTGTTCATCTGACATTCCTAATCACGGTCATCAGAGCTACGCGATCAAGAATGATGGATTACACTTGATGATTGATTTCTGGAGTACAAACATAAAACATGAAATATTCGCGAAGTGTTACGTTGTTAATGACCGTAATGGGAATCAACGTCACTATTAATTTCGTGAAAATTCGATTTAAAAAAGGAAATAGCCCTTTACCTAGTTTCGTATGAAAAGGGAATATTTTCACGTTAAATTACTTGGAGTGGTATCAAGCTTTAAGCGGATCAAAGGCTGGTGTGTCTACCATTGATTATCAGCACCGTCCCACGTTAATATTTCCGTGTGAAAGGGAGCGCTTAAAATTCGCTGTTTCCAGAAGACTATGAGTTCCTTATCGAGCCGTAGGCGCTCTTACGAGGCCAAGGACGATTGTACCACATTGTTCCGCGTCTTTAATATGACGTCGGTTTGCTCCTTTCGCCGGGAGCACCAACATCTCCGTTTACCTTTTTCATGTTTCCGTTGAAAACAAACGAGATATTGAGTTACATTGGCAAACCAGCTATGAAAAAGGATCTCCTAGTTAGGACACATTTCATCGGAATTACGCTCTCATTTTGATGACGAAAATTGCATATTTATAATTTGTTCTATTTTAAACAAACGAATGCTTCTTGCCACAATGAGCCTAATTAGGACAGCCCTCGTACAATTATCGATTGGTACCCAGGGACAGCAAGAGATAGTCGATAAAATATTGTTTTGTGATACTTGATGAAACATCAAGGTTAATGGACGAAGATCATTATAATTCTCTTTCTAAAATTGTATTTTACAAAATTCCATCGAAGGCTGTCGTCATTTAAATTCATTTTTGATAACACCAAATATTCCGTTTCACCGAGGATGATCAATGAATCGTGGACCATAGGCACTTTGAATAAATATTCGATAAAAGAGAGCCAGGAGTTTGGAAAAACCGTTTCTCAAAGTCTCTAAACATGGAAATGCGATCCGATGAAATGCGAGCCACGTTTCGCTCGCAAGTTGCTTTTCTTCTCTCTGCTTGAACCGCGGTGTAAGGGGGATTGCTCCTTTAAAAACTTTGTATCGGCCGGTATCGATTCTTCGTAAATATAAATAGAGTCGATGCGTGTCGCTTTCAGATTAAACGCAACGCCCACACGGTTTTGCTTTCGATGCACCACTTTGAAATTATGGCGCGACAAATCGCTGCTCAAACGACGGCAAAAATGTTTTTCACAAAACTTTCAAATCGTTCATGATTTTTTACATTGACCCATTTCAAGTGATTATTGTAATTATCCTCTCACTTGTTCGTATAAAAATAAAATCGAAAACCATCACGTATGTACGTTGCTTTTGCGATGCAGGAGTAGACTGTGAATGTTTATACAAACTCAAATTTTTACATACATTTTGAATACTATCTCTTACCTCATAAAACATTTTACATATTTTTGCATTTGCGTACATCCTCATGTTTACCTTTACATTTACACTTGTCAAATGAATTAACATTCGCAGCTTAGTTACCGTTAACACCGAGTCACAGATACGACGCATGGCAACGAACATAACACTGATATAACAGCAACCTAGACTACCAATAAAACCAATCATAAATCAAGAAAAACAACCTATCAACCCTAACGATCATTTCGAATACTCGAGGTGTCCACGATGCACGTCTATGTAACGATCAGCAACTTAAAGTTCCCCTCTACGCAGAAGGTAAACATTTGCGTCGCCCGCCATCTCGTAACTCGATTAATTTCGAATCGAACGCATCGATATCCTCTCGCGGTTGAAAATAAATTCACTCACTCGGCCACTCAGGATTAACGTCCTGCCTTAGGAGCCCTATCGGGGTCCAGGTGTCAAACGATACCTCTCGATTCCAACTGCGATCCCCCCAAGACCGCAAGCTATTAATCGACAGCCTTAATCCCCACTGCCGTGGCCGCAGAGCAAGCACCACAGCAAGGATCGAAAGTGCAATCCTGAATAATTCCGAGAGCAAAGTCGCCCGCCGCTTCATACGCCGCGAGCGCAACGTATATAGGCGGAAGCGCGGTCGCCGGTATATCTGTATCTTCGAACACCTGTTAGCAGTGGCTCGTGTGGGCGGCTCGCCACATCGCCTTTAAATTCTCTTCGCGATTAAGCACAAGCTCTTCCCAACGTCACGATGGTTGCATTAGAATGCGACTCGGCCCGGGTCGCTATCAGAGATGGGGCAATACTCTCCACGCAAAGATAAACAACGGTTTATAGTTGGTAGATAGATTTGGAATTTCGATTGTAGAAAGACATGCTTTGGTTGATCAACTGAAAAGTTTAATCGTTGAATCGAGAAATTAGGAATCAGTTGTCGAGGACCATTGATCTTCCTCCTTTTTTTTTTTAATGACAGTCTTGTATTTTTACTTAATTTAAATTGTCCGTTTAATTTAGACAGAATGTTGGCCAATTCCGATATAGCTATCGCGGTGCACGAGAGGACATGTTTCACAGGGTTGACAGGAACACTTTAAGAGATACACGAAAACTTACCGGCGTGACCCGGTACGGAGTAGTTGGCCTCCTCGCTGGGAACCACGGTTTCCTCCAGGATGCTCTCTGACGCGGTTTTCATCACACCCATGGCTGGTTTTTGGACGCCTGGGGTCGTAGTCGCGGTTCTACACGCTGAAATGGGATGCGACGCAATGAGATCGTAGCACAACGATTACCTCGGCTTGATCGTGCCGCGTTGTCTGCCGTCGTCGGAATGCTCGGCGCCGTTTCGTCGACTTATTGCGTCTGCGTTCGCGCCTGCGTTTCTGGCGTTACCCTTGAGCCCTCTATCCTGCGCTTCCCTCCTTGACCCTCGCGTATATCCTACCCCCCTGGTCTTCCTACCCCGCTTCCTCACCTCGTCTCGGTTAACGGGGAAGCAAGGCAATCCCTAGGCCAGGGTGAACGCTGGCTAGGAGCAGCCCCGGCGTGTCCGATCGGGTAGGGGGTGTGCTTTTGCCGCTACTCACGCGTTCGTCGGTGGCTGTAGCCTCCAAGCTGCATGGTGGGGTGGCAGGCGCAACGCACAGGGGCAATGTCGACCAACTGGGTCTCGGTGAAGGTCTCGGCTAGGCTACCCGTGCCCGATACCGTGCATCCTTTTTGCCTGCCGCTTTTTCCCTTTCGATGTCCGTTGTCGCTGTGCGCTCACCTTTCGCTCAAGTAATACGCGAGCCGTTCCCTACGTGGGAACCATATATAGTTCATCTGTTTAAAAAATTTAGATTCTGCGAGCAATACTCGAGGAAAGTATTACGGTTCTTTTCTTATTTTAGTTGGACTCTTTTGAGAGTCTGGCCAGTTTAGCTAGTTCCACGAGTAGAATACCTTTGAGTGCCAGAGCAGTATATTTAGTTACCTTCACGAAATGAACACTCCTGAGCGCCAAAGCAGTATAGCTAGCTTCGCGAGTAGAACATCTTTGAGTATCAGAGCAGTATTCTTAGGAGTGCAAGGTCCTTTCCCAAGAAAGAGGAAAGTCTAGCCCCCTTTCTGAGATCAGTTGCGTTGGCCAGACGCACAAAGCTTTTGTGCCAGAGGTATCCTACTATAAATAATAGAAAGTTTCATTGGCAAGGAGACAATATTTCTTCATGAACAAGTCAACTTAACTCTCGGTACTCCTGAGAGCATCTGTGACATAGAGGCGCCAACAGCACCTGCGTACTCTGAATGTATACTTTAGTCTATTTTAACTTTGCTCCTGTATATTATTCTTTTACTCAAGTCTTCACTTCAAATTTTGAACAAATCTAATACAATAAAGATCTGTCGTTATTGCTATTACCATGATTTTTATTCTCGAGTGTAGTTTGACCTTCAAACGTCCTGTCCTATCTTCTTTCTCTTCATAGTTTTGGATAGAGTAGGACTGACGCTTGAAGAACATTATTTCTGTGGAAGTGTTTGCAAACAGTTGTGTTTTCACATCGAGGTAAGTTCCTGGATTGCGGACACAATTCGACTATGGCACGTGCACGTCCTTGAAACTCCGCAGTGTCGGGTAAACTCGGGTGTTTGAACTGCGCCCGAATTGTGTTCCCTGTCACGCGCTCCCACTATCTTCAGCTCGTCATTTCCGCCATGCGCCATTTTTTTTCTAGCTCCAGGTGTTAAATATCGTCGAAGTTATTCGAATAGTTTCATACTCTAAAAGTATTTGGTTATCCAAGAATTTATCTGCAAAAGTTGAACTTTCCCTTAATCTCACGTAATTGCAGGTTATTACAATTATTTCGAGAGGATAATTTATTACGTCTTTAGTTACCACTGATAATGTATTATTAAACGAGTATTTATTGAAACAAATCAGACAGAGCAGCTTACTAAATTTATTAAGCTGCTTTGCACGGGTTATTAATTATTCATCTAACCGTAATAATATTTCGCTGATAATCTTGGACACGTGCGAAGAATTAAGCATACATTGCATGTAATATATAGCAAATATACAGGTACTACTAGAACTTCTTTTCTTCTTTTTTTAACGAGAAAAATGTAACATTTACAATCCCAGTCTTAGTGTCAACTCGTCACGGATGATCACTCGTCTGGCAGAGCGTGTTGCGCGATCTAACATCATGCTTTACATAACGCACTCGCCGAGGCACGCGAGCTGATCTAACGTAAACGAGTAATGAAAAAGGGTACTTTCTAATCACGGTGTAAGATAGAATCACAGGCTAATTCTGAACAACTAATTCAAACGCAGACTAACCTCTACGGCAAGAAAAACTACTATTTGGAATTCTAGCAAAAGTCGAAGCTACAAGAAATTTGAACTCGTTTATCCAGAAATTTTATTATCTAATTATACGACATCCCTCTGTCTTTCGTCTGTAGCCCTTAGGGTTCTACGATCTTTTTTAAAATCGTCGAGGTTTTTTTAACCACACCATGTATTTTTAACTTCATAACGCTGTAGTTGGTGTTAGAGGAAATTCAACGACATAGTGTAATGTGACCTTGATATGGCCTTGGCAATGCCTTTGACACGCGCACTCCTGTTACTCGAATAAGATCGAATAATCAAAATGGTACTTTCCTGCTGTAACAAAAAATTTAATAATTTTGTAAACCGTTCCAGCGCCCTTTTCGTCGTTTCCGATTGGCTGGATATGCGAGACCTAATTATTCTTCCTTGCATATTCCTTGGATCGGTTGGTTGATCACGGTAAACATTATCTTTTAATTTTGCACACAGAAAGAAATCGAGTAGATTAAGGTTGGTTGAACGAGCGGGCGATGGTATCCGTCCATTACTTTCAATTCAATGATTTGGAAAATTACTGTTTAAAAATTCTCTTAAGTTTTACACATACATTTTCAGTAAGAAAGTATTTTTGATAATGTAACACATCTGCGTTTAATGTATTGACAATAAGCGAAGAGGGAAGGAAATAATCACAGCATTCTAAGCAGGTATTTGGTATTTAAGCGGAATGTGGGTGACACTATCAATTATTACAGAGTACGACTGAAGTCTAACTTCGTTTGAAGTTGACATTTGATGTAGAATGCGCGCCATGCTGAGTACAGTAGAACCTCAATTATTGCAGTCTAATTACTGCACGTGAACCTCGTTTATTCCATAGTATCGACAAATGGAGGAGATGGTCGCATCTACCCACTGAATTGGTTAGCTTCGTGAATTGCAAGGACCTCGATTATCACAAAAAAGTTGTGTGCTTTATTTTTTGTTTTTGTTTTTGTTTATAATTGAGGTTCTGCTGCAATACATTTTGCAAATATTTTAACTGTTCTACTTTAACGTGCCGATATTTTCATTTTTATTTTTCTTGATTTCGTCAGCAGGAATGTGTTTGAGATGGTTTACCATCCCGAATTCATTCTAATCGAACACAAACCTAGCCTTTGACGGTAGTTCATTAAATTCATTTTTGAACAAAGTTACACATTCCTTCCTTGAAATCAACGTCGTCACGCCATTTTCACCCTGCTGGCAGTGCCGCACCTTGTATAAAGTTTTGTAAATATGTTCAATTTGTTAATATTTTAATAGGTTTAGTATTGTAAATATGTTAAATGCGTTGCTTGTTACGAATGAAAGGCGTTAAATCATGTAATGTAACAGTGGCGTATACATGTATAATTGTTGGAAAGATAAGCACACCGAATATTACCATCGCGTTTTTAAATATCGCGCATTTAGGTTAAACCTTTATTTTGCTATTTCTTCTTCATGTACGCTCCGAATACCGAAGCCGTAACTCGAATAGCAGCGTGGTTCGTCCGCGCGCACGTTGTCGCTAGGATGAATCGAGCGGTTTGGTGGGCGCGAGTCGCGAGACGCGGTACAACTCGTAAACACCAAATTCTTGCGTGTACCGAGTCGCGAAATCTCGAAGACTTTTTCTATAAACTGGCGACGATCACGTGGTTCTAAGATCCTTTGTCTCCAAAGCTTCTAGAACGTTCCACCGAGTTTACGTGGTCGAGCAAGGCACGAACCTTCTCACTTCTCATCGTACAGTCGCACGAAGCGCGATATTAGTCCGAGCGAGCTAAATTTGAGCATAGTTGTATACCGAGTACTTAGTAGTATTGTACAAAGTGAGTGATAGGCAAAGACTCTAGTTCCTCGTAAAACAACTCGTTTTATTCAATTTCTTTTATTAATTTAATTTATTTAAATACTTTGATATTAAATCTTTTTTTTGTAAATATAATTTAGCGTTAATTATAACCGTAAAACGTGTGCGTGTGTTTTTCCTTCAACCACAGGGCGACTAGAACAACTCAGAACATCGAGACCAGCGTTTTTCTCGATTTGTATTGTAAAGATATTTAGTCGTGAGTTGATTTTCTTCCAATCAATATTTTTGTATAAATGATTATGAATTTATTTTGTTGTGACCACTCGGAATATCAATAAATGATATTTCATTTCCGGGGAATCCTTAATTGATGTTCTCGGGTGGTATTTCTATTGATCTTTCATATAATATTATTCCGACAATTTTTATTGTATTTCTTTATCATATGAAATCACTGTTGGAAATCTGGGATATTAATAAATGATATAATTCATTCCGGGGTAACCCTAGTTGATATCCCAGAAACGAATAAATATATATATTTTCATTGTATTCTTCTATACAGTTTATGTTCAATTTTATATGAGTTAACTGAAAGAATGAAAGAGTGGGATCTATTATAAATATGTAAATTTCAAGGTCTAATCATTGGTTATTAAAATACACATCAGACAATGATATTTCAATAGTAAAATAGCTTTCAATATTTAATTTAATTCTATCCTAACCGTCCTAACCGTCCATCCTATTAAATACGAAAGAGAAATTCACATACGAGCCAGGACCCGTACGGGACTCCTGTGACAAAGACCTGACCTTGCCGATAGGCAAGTAAAATATATATAATAATAATATTTAAAAATTATTTAAGCTGTGACGCAGGAATCTGTGTCCCACGTCACACATGAAAGTGACTTCGTCGACTCGGGTCGAGTAATGATAAAGTAATGATAAAAATAAAGTCAGAAGGATGACCATCCAGAGCTTTACGAGGAAGTTTTTATTCAATATTATTCACGGAAGCGCAAAAAATAACTCCCCAAGGATGTACAGACGGATTTATTAAAAGGAACACATCCCGTGAGCTTTGCGTTTTCAACGTCGTTTTCATCTTTATTCGATAAAGAGGAAAAAGCTTTTCACAACTTTTCGCAATCGTCGTTTAT